TTTGTGGAACGCAGCCAAGATGCTTGCTGTTGCGCCAAATGGGAGGAAAAAAAACCCCCAGCCTTTGCCTCCCAGAGTTCACGATATAGTCGGAATTGACCAAAGTGTTCCCTGCGCGTCCCTTCTTTTGCACACGTGTGTCCGCGCACCAGCCTGCTTCCTTGCCTGCCAGATGACACGTACGGCTCTGCGAGGGAAGCCCGACCCACCGGGTGGGCAGGGATCTGGCCATCGCTGCTGTCCCCGGCGCTGCCACTGCTGCTGTCTGCGCCTCAGCATCGCACGTAGGCCAAAAGTATTAAAATTGGCTCCCTTCATCTCAAGTGAAGTGGGGTCAGGGGCTGCAGGGAGTGAGATTCTCAGGAAAAGCAGAGTAGCTAATAACCATGCACTTAAAAGCAGAGGTATTGACTGAGAGCAGGGCCTTTAATCTCTCCGCTTTCTGCCCATAGAAAGGGAGCTGTGCTTCTCTCCCACCTCGCAAGACGATGACGCTCTGCGCACTTTAACCTTCATCAACTGGTGTTTACAAAGTCCTTTCTAAAGCTGCCAACTGGCAAGTACTGTGGAAAAAAAAACCTCGGATTTTCCCTGCTGTCTGATGCTGTGTGTGTGTGTGTGTGTGGGTGTGTGTGTGTGTGTGTGTGTGTGTGCACGCGCGTGTGCTCGGCTGGCTGTTCACCGGCCAGCATCCCCGCGGTGGACGGCTCCGCACCTACCCCTCCGAACGCACAGCCTGCATTCATGTCTCCGTTTTCTTTGGCATCCTCCAGCATTTCCCTTGGAACTAGTGGCCAATGATATAGTTTCTCCTCAGTCATCCCCCTCCGCCAGAGCGCTCCCATCGAGAGGATTATCGTTCTCATACTCACGAGCCTCATGCTGTCCCGCTGTCCCTTTCAGGCTGTTGTTCCCTGGGGATAGGGTCACAAAACCCACAAAGCGATTTGCAATTAGATCTGCTCTGTAATTTTTTTTTTTTTTTTTCTTCTGCTCTGAAAAATACAACAAGAGGTTTTATAGAAATTGTCCAAGCAGCTTTAGAAAGCTCTGTGCTCCCCTCAGCCCAAAATCTTCAAGCTTTGGGAAGAACGATTTAGATGAACCTCCTCCAAAAGTTTTCGCAAGAAAGTAGATATTTCTTGTAAAAATAAGTGCGTAATAGAAAGCAAAGAATTTCCCTTGAAAACTAATTTCAGTGGAAATTTTTCAGGTAGCTTCAAGCGAGCTGTGGAGCTCAGCGTGCCCTCTGGTGCCAGAGCCTGGTGTCACAGGCCCTGGGACCTGCCAGCTCCCTACAGCAAAACCAGAGAACAAGTTTAAAAAGAGAGGGAAGAAAAAAAAAAAATCCCACAGTTGTGGTGATATTAATCCTTCTTTCTACAAGAATTCATACGGAAATTAAAAATAACAATAGAAGTAAGAGTTAAGTATTTGAGGGGCAGGGGGTGGTGTGCTTTGAGCAAGAATAAAGCCTCTGACTTGTGAAACGTAGGTGGGTGCCTCACTCAGCCCCTGTAGCTATCTGTATCGCTGTGCCACGTTTACACAAAAGGAAGCAGAAAAGGGATTTGCCTGAGGTCAGACTGAAGCCAGCAGAGTCTTTGCAAGGAAAAGAGGCTGTCTCGTATGGAAAGCCAAAACATCCGGAAATGGGACACGGGAGCCGAGCTCCAGCGCTGTACTTTTTCCAAGTCCTAATTTCCCTACCCTTAAAAAGCGGGCAATAATGATGCATCCCAGTCTTGGGGAAGTGCTGCATACTGGTAGGTGCTGTTTTCCAGCAGACACGCTGGCTCTGCAGCGATGCCTGCAAGATGAACTTGGTGTCTGCCCGCCAGACCCAGGTTTTCTTTCTTTGATGGAATACGGAGAAGAAAAGGCAGCGATTCCCACTCTCAGAAGGGGGACACTTTCAAAGTGACTAGAAAGACACTGGCTCTAGCCTGATGATATAAATCATTTTGATGAGCCTTCAGGTATGTCCTGTGTCTTAATTTAGGGCTCTGTTTGCCAAAATTGAATTATTTAATCTCCCCAGTGAACCCAGGTAACCCCCTCCAGCTGTCTGGGCAATCCTGCTACAGGGAAACCTGACTTGCTTGTGAATCAGCTCCCAAGACGCAGCAGTTTAGAGGACAGAACTTTAAGACAAACCTGAAAAAGAAACGATCCCATTTTGAAAACTTGTGCACGCATTGTGGCAGCTCAAAAAACGAGTCATGGCCATGTGCTCATACTCCACAGATGCAGTGGTTAGCTGGTCACAGGTCTGGCACCAGGCATCCCAAGCAAAGCCATCCTGCATTAATTGAAATGCCAGATCTCTGAAGACTCCTGGCTTGTTGAAGCCTCTTGTTATTTGAGACTTCAGGCTTGCATTCGTTGCTGCTAGACTAGGCAAAAATACTCCATAAGGGCCAAATCAATAGAGGACCTGAATTTCTCTAACTTCAGCTGGCATCACAGGCACTCCTGCAGGTTGGTTATTTTTTATTTTTTAGCTGTTAAGTGAAAGGTTGGTGTCCAGCTTTCATCATCTAGTAACCTTCTGGCTACCTCTGTGGATCTACTAAGCCTGCACTGACAGAACTTTGAAACAAGGTTTTCCCAGATCTTATGACTCCTCATTGGAGAGCGATGGCCATCCCTGCCTGTGGTATCATGTCCCAGAGAGGGGAACATGCCATTATGCCCATCCACATGCGAAAAGCCCACATGAAAGTACCTATTTTCATTGCCTGATCATCTGGGACACAGAGCTCACTACATTGCAACTCTGCCCTAAAGGTAAAGGAACATGGGGGCAGCTCAAAAGGATGCGTTTTCATTCAACAAGAGCTCCTGCCTTGCTTTATTTGTCGCCACATAAGTGACTAGGAACAGATGTGTCAGCCTCCTTGTACCAGTCACTCATTTAACAAAAGCTCTGTCTTGTTTGTACAGCGTCCTTGTTCTGGCATCCTTAACTCATCATTACGCATAGATAAACCATCAATGCCCAGCCTTGTGATGCTGCAGGGAAGGGGGCTGACTCTTCAGGAATGAGGAAGAAAACACATGAAAGGGGTCAAATCTCAAACCTTGCACCTCTTGGTATGGATACCACTCTGTAGCAACAGGATCATATGCTGTTAAGCCAGCTGAGAGGGGGCGGTACCTAAATCTAGGTTTTTAAGATGTGTTTCTAAGATCGGGCCTTTCGCTGGCCTCCTTTCCCCAAAATACAAGATACCTCTATTCTAGCCCAGACATCAGACAGTCATGTTTAAGAAGTCCTGAACCCCTACACGCTGCCTTAGAGTCCTTACCGGCTCTCTAGACTTCTACTATCATCCCCTTCTAGTATCTTTTAACTTCTACAGCAAGAAATACAGGCTTTGTAAAGGAGCTTCTTAACCACAGTAACTTTATTGTTGGAAAACCCCAAAATTGCATGCTTTAAGCTATGAAAAAAAAAACCCCAATAACCCAAAAGCACTTTCCTACCCCAAGCTGGACCCTTCCTAGGGGTCACAGCTCACTGATAGTTCAAACTGGACACAATCCTTCCTGCCCACTTTTTACTACGCATCTTTCTCACATGAGGGTGATCACCAGCACAGGCCACAACCCCCTTCCAAAATTCAGCCCCAGTTTCAGTTTCAGACACACAACCACATGCAGCACTCTCTCAGGATCACTGGCTTTGCTCCCACTCCCACCCCAGCACAGAGAAAGCCACTCTTGCCCAGGGATGCACAAAGAGACCAGAGACAGCAGCACAAAGCAGTAGCCATAACCCTTCTCCAGTGTCACGCCCAGACCATAGAGAAAAGGTCACATTTTGTACTTTATCTAGTACAAAAAGACCAAAATAGGACTTACCATTTGATGTAGGCACAGTCCTACTTCTCATATGCACCTGGAGAAAACTCTTCCACCACTCTGAGCCACAGAGGTTACCTCAGGCCCACACTTGGCCCTTATACCCAGATTTAAAGGGTTATCTCTCAGAGGGTGCTAAGGGCAAGGCTGCCGGTCTTCACTGCAGCTGACGGGAGGCTCATTACCGAGAGCTGAAGCCTGTCCGCTGTGTGGAAGTGCCATTTTTCTTTCTTTTTAAGAAAGAAGATCATAGCTTGCTGCAGATATATCCAAATCTTTTATAATTGTTGCCTTTGCTGGTGGTTTATTACCAACTGATGACACTTTGGGTGAATTGAAAACTACCTTTTCTGGGTTTGTTTCATCATTTGGGTCACGACAGCTAACGGGGAACTCACTTAATGAGAAAGACAGAGAAAAGGTGGATAGCTAAAAGCAGCCAAATGACCCACAGCTTGTAATTAGATTAAGGGCAACCAGGTGATTTACCCCTTGCAAATACCTGTTTCTCTCCACTGATAAAAAAATGTGTCTGAATGATTAGTTAAAGTTAGGTGTGATGGATCCCACCCTTTGTGTCAGTGGATTTCAGTGCCTGAAGTTTTAAAGAAACAGTGACCTGGGTTTCAGAAACAAAAATGTGGATTGCCCCATGTGCTCTATCATCTTGTCTGAGACAGTATCAAGCAAAAAGTGTTCAGAGGAGATACAAAGCCTAGCCACTGACAGTCCTTTGAACATGCAACCCAAAGAGAAGATCTCTCTCTAATCCTCTGTGAGTTTGAGGCTTGTCTGTGCCCTGAAGGAAGAGAATTTAATATTCCTTTCAAAATCCCTAGCTCTGGGTAATCTACATTATTGTAACTCTGGACAAGCTTGTTTTCCACCAAAATACCCAGTATTTTTCTAACCTTGCTGAGCTCTTGATCACTGCAAGTATCTTGTGCCTATTAATATCACGAGGCGACTGCGAGGGGAAACTGACTGCTCTCAACACGTTTAAAACACACAACTTTGACTTTTTCCCAGGCTTTCTAGATAAACCCTGTGGGGAGGCAGCAGCCCATTTGCCGTGGACAGGTCCGTTGGCTTAGCAATCCTACCAGTTCAGGTGGTTTCTCCTGTCTCCCCAGGGCGTGAATCCTCATCTCCGGATTAACGGGCCAATGAACATCAACCACTACGCGACAAAGAAGAGTGTGGCGGAGAGCATGCTGGATGTGGCGCTGTTCATGGCAAACGTCACACAGCTCAAAGCGGTGCTGGAGCAGGGGGCTTCCTTCCAGTACTATGCCACTCTCATTGTTCTCATCAGCATCTCCCTCTTCTTCCAGGTGATGATCGGGATTCTCCTCATCATCACCGGTAAGGTGGCCACCGAGGCGCATACACTCTCGCAGGGTGCTGCTGCGGTAGGGCACCCCATGGCTTGGATGGTGTGGGGATGGGAGGGAGATGCCTCTTCCCCTGAGCTGTTTTCCCTGGCTCCAACCAGGGCTGTAAGAGGGTTGAAGAGAGCTTGACGTGGGCGGTTGGGAGGTCTGTGTAACTGCTTTTCAAAGTGGGGAGTGGGGTTGTGTTTTTTCTCTTGCACAAAAGCTCTGAGCACTACTCTTCCTTCACTTCCCCACTGCTGAATCCCTGTTGTAGGGGGACAGCTGGGTTTTGGGCCTCTTGCTGCCCATCCTTCATGCAGCTCTTGCAGATACTACGTTTTAGCTGTATCTCCTGCCTCACTCAAGCTGGGGCCTAACAGGACAATTTAGGCGGAGGCATTCCCTATATTAACCTCACATTTAACCAATCCCACAGTTCTCCTCGTGCCATACAAACAGTACGTTAACACCAGCATTTCAGACAGACGTGCCCAATGATCTGTCTGCTACAGGAGTTGCTGTACTTCAGCCTCCAACACGTACCCAGTATTAAAAGTCTTCAGAATGCTGCCTTTTCCTGTATATCCTATGTGTTTTTTTATGTGGGACACGGGATTGGAGGCTACAGGAAATCCTGTGACATGTTCCTTTCCCTGTCCCACATGGCACAGCCTTTCCTGGTGGCAGCCGCAGTGACTGGAGCCAGCTGTGAGGAGAAGGGGGACAGGGGACCACAAGTGAGGGCAGGGAGCCACAAGGCTGTCGTTCACATGGCTTATGGGCCAGACAGCCCCGGTAACTGGGGCATTCCTGGGTCTGAACTGATCAATGCCCATCAGCTAGGGCTGATCCCATTCGTGTACACAGATACCTCTTGGTCTGGGGGTGAGCAGGGGGTTGATAGCTGTGTCAGCACATATGTGAGATCTGAGTGTCGAGGAGGAACTGGCCTCCCAACCCCAGTGCAACGTTGCTGACCTTGTCCCCCATGTCACCCAGCCTTCCCTTGCCATGTCCCATGGCCATGCTGTGGGGCGATCACATGGCACATGCCTGGCTAGCATGCAGCAGTAATTTGGCTATTTAGTGTTGGCTCATTGGAGGGCCATGGCACCTCCATGGCAAAACAAAGACATGACATAAAAAAAGATGTTTTTCCTCTGCTTCGTCCTCCTATGTCATCCTAGGGCAAGCTGTGGCCCCTGTAAAATTCCTGGGACTATTCCTCCAGCTCTGTGGCCGCAGTGCCCAGGGGCATCACAGACATTCACCAGGCAGGGAAGGCTTGCAGGGGCTGGGGGACTTTTGAGTCAAGCTACAAATCTCCCTTTCTTTTTATATTGTATCGCACAGCTCGTTTGAACCTGAATGATGTTGCAAAGCAACCCCGCCTGAATATACTCAACAATGCTGCCACGGCTCTCATCTTTATCACGGTCATCCTCAACATCTTCATCACAGCCTTTGGGGTACAGAAGACTGGCCTCTACCCTACCAAGAATTTTCGACCTTATTAAGTCACGGGGCAACGGAGTCAGGTAAGAAAGGGGTGAGTTCCCATCACTGCCAGCCCCTGGAAGAGCTCCCACTCTCAGAAAATGTCACTGCAAGGTGGAGAAGAAGGCAAAGCTGTACAAATTAACAAAGCCTTCCCAGAGCCATGTTGTTGTCCCTTGAGCATCTGGGGCCATTGAACAAATTGCCTCAGAGGAGGAGGATTTCTCCTTGCTTGGTCTTTAAAGCAAGAACACCAAACATCCCAACTGCTGCGATTTATCAGCGGCAAGTGGTTTTCAGAAGGCTGCAGACCTCATACTAAGTACAGATAGAAGTTGTGGATGGGAACTAAATTTGGGAAAGAAAACTAGGTGCATTCTGGGAGGTATCCAAAGATGGCAGTGTTATCTGAGCAGAAGAAAAGGAAGGTGCTGGGGAGGTGGGGGTGAAAGAACTGTTCACAAGAGCCAGTGCGGTTGGGCAGGGGCTGTTTTAAGAATCTAACTCTCATTTTCAAGAGAGAGTTTTGTGAGTAAGAATCCAACCAAATGCTTGGGTTCCCATGTCAGGTCAATGAGGGAATGACATGTTCTTAGGTCAAAAGTGCTTTAGGTCAAGAAGTGAAGTTCACAACTCTTGCTTACATGACCTGCAACATGTAAACATATTTTAAATGCAATATACTGGGGCAGCAGCCAGCAAGAAAGCTCGATAGATGCATGATATGATGAGGGAGGATGCAAAGGCCAAGAACCCCACTGTACAGCGTCTACAGAAACACTGCTGGCTTGGGATCCAGAAGGGTGAGAGTGCTGAAGAGCAGCACCCCACACCCACAGGGGTGGCCGTGGTGCCGAGTGACCCGGAGTGCCGTGACTGCTCCCCTCTACCTGTGCAGCGCGGAGGAGCCTGCTGCGACCTTACTGGCGTTTCTTGTCTTCCCTGCAGGATCTGAGCGGCGTGGCTGGTGGGGAAAGCTCTCTTCCTCTTCATTTTCATTGACCTCAGCAGGAGCCCATCGACGAATCCAGAGAACTGGGTTAAACTTTCAAAACCGTGTGCATGTCATGGTATACCGGTCCCTTACCCTAATGCTTTTGCAGTTCTGAAGGGGTGTAAACAGTGCCTTTCAAAGCTAGAGCAAACTTTGCTAGGGAAACCTGTGGGAACAAGCAGCAGGTACACAATTTCAAAGCACAGTTCTGTACATCTCATCTCTTATTTTAGTTGCCTGCTTCACATGTTCGATATTGGCTCATTTTATAGAGAAGACCGAATGATTTACTTTGTAGGCTAAATAAACACAAAAAGTCCAGCTTTTTTGTCTCAAGCACAAGTTGCCGTACTTAAAGCAGTGCTATCTAATAGTTTACCTCCCAAACATTGTGTACATCTCATCTCTTATTTTAGTTGCCTGCTTCACATGTTCGATATTGGCTCATTTTATAGAGAAGACCGAATGATTTACTTTGTAGGCTAAATAAACACAAAAAGTCCAGCTTTTTTGTCTCAAGCACAAGTTGCCGTACTTAAAGCAGTGCTATCTAATAGTTTACCTCCCAAACATTGGAATGGATTTTTCAAAAAAAAAAGTTCTCACGGGAGGATAGGAAAGCATGTGTATGCCAATGCAGCTAGAACCAGTCCAAATGTTTTCCTAGTTGTTTAAAAATAAAATTAAATGTGACACAGTTAAGAAAACAATCAGATACTTCCAGCATTGGAAAAATAGCAATGCCAGAAAATAGATATTATGGTCTGATGTCATCGCCAGGACCTATCAGGAATGATGTCAGAAAAGTCTGACAATATTTAGTAGAAAATGAAGAAACATTATACATAAGGAGACACTCTAGGCTTATTGCCACAATGAGAAATGGCAGGTGCATAGTGTATGACTCTATTAAAAAAATCACCATTTAAGGTCTTATCGCTAACACAAATGTTTTTAAATATATCATTTTTATATTGACAATGCTGGGAATTCTCTTGTACTAGAACAATTTGTTTCCTTAAAAAAAAAAAAAAATCTTTGAATGAATGATTTTTCAGATTTTTTTTTTTGAAAGTGTAAAATTTTTCGATCCTAAATTTTGCAACTCTAGTCATACTAAAAAAAAAAAAATCGGTATTTTAATAGCCTGGTGTAAGCCTATTTAAATAACGACATGCTTTTCTGATTATTAAATGATTTTTTCATTGTATGGTAGAATCACAGTTTAATGTGGATTTTTCACTTTGCATGCTGTTGCCACCGAGAAAGAAATGTCATGAAAATGCCCACGTATTGGCCTTCAGGAGCTACTGGGAGTGTCTGACACTTAAAAACCCCCAATACGGGCAGATTTCATTTGTACTCTATATTTGACTTTACCGAACTCGATTTCTCTTTAAGTCACAGGTGGTGCTTTTTTTTTTCTGGAGAAGGTGGGAATGATCTTGCCCTCAAAGGCTGGTGGGTGAGGCTATGGGTCAGCATCAGCCAGTACCTGCAAATGACAGTGGGTTGTTTTTTTTTTGGCAGCTGAAGGAAAGTTGCATAGAAAGAGTAGGGTGGAAAACGCCAGTTATATATTTACCAGAATTCAAATCAGCAGAGCTGAGTGCAGTCTGGGATCTGTTTGGTGAAGCACGTAAAGACTCGTCCTCCACTTTGTCCGCGGGATGGCCCGTCTGGAGGGACACTGAGTTTGCTGCTTATCTCAGTCCTCGGTCTCTGCTAAGACCGACAGCAAACAGGGCTGAATGTTCCTGGGAAGACTCTGTTATTCTGCTCTCCTCTAGAAAAAAGCTTCACTGTAGAGGCAGCAAAACTAGTTTTAGCCAATGCAAAACCACCAGCTCAGGGCTTTCAGCCACTACTGGCCAGCTGGGTTCATGAAAAGGTAAAAAATTATGCATCCCGTGTGCGGATCCCAAATCCTGTGACTCATGGCTTCAGAAGAGCAGGAAGCAAAGCAATTAGCATTGATGACTGAATGTAAAGAGAGGCAAAAAAAAAAAAAGAAAAGGTTCAGCTAGGGAAAGCAGCAGTGAGGGGAATTTCATTACCAGATCTTAACTTCAACATCATCATCTCAGAGAGCTGCCAGGTTGGGTATGGCGGCGCGCGAGTCCTGCCCAAGCAGAGAGGGCTTCCCGTCACCCAGCCCAGGTGAGGAGAAGACTGGCAGCACGCTGGAATGCTTTTCCCCCATCGCCTTTAATAATCATTTCTCATTATAATGGAATCAGACTCATTAGCAACCTTGGCTGCCTTTTTCCCTCTCCATGTCTGACTCCCATTCCTGCCAAGCCTTTTATACTTAAAGGAGGCATGGTTGAAGTGAGAAGGGGCCAAATTTGAATCTAAATAAGCAGTTGCCATGGAAGGGCTTACCTTCCATTTGTGTAGGCTGTGCCAAGTACTGAGCTCAGGTCTAGTCTCTCACCTGCGGTCTTCCCCAGGAATTGTCCCCTGCTTGCGAGGGGGACCACTTCGTTCTCCGCATTCTCTCTCTGTGATCCCATCGCACTTCTGCTTTGCCGGGATGGGCATTTTTCCCAATGTTTCTCCCTTTTTTCACTTGATAAACCCAGGAAGACAGGAGAAAAACTGTTTTGTTGCCATCCCGCTTTCTACAGCCCTAGAGGGGGCTGAAACAGGTCTTGCTCCTGGTTAACCTTGTTTGCCACATCTCCTGCCCACCCCTTGCTGCAGAGCTCTCACTGGTATTGCCTACACTTTCAGCTACATGAAGCCAGAGGAGCAACACCTGGTTTCTAATCCCTGCTGCATGGCGATGCGGGTGTGAGTAACACACAGACAGAACCGAGCTCTTGTAGGAAGACAAGGTATTTATAAAACGTGAGGGAGAATCAGTATATCCCCCACCTCTAACAGAGAGGTGGCCCAGGAGTCGTCTTGAAGGCACAGAGCCACTTTAAGGCAGATAATTCAAAGGTACAATCCCGATTTTTAACACAAGGCATCGGTATCTAAAAAACAATCAACTTCAGACATTTGTAGGCAATGAGAAGAGGCGAGAGGTTCATACCGGGCAAATGTTAAAGACAATGACAAAACAAGTCACATTATAATTTTCACACAATGCATTTCTCTCAGAATAACAGCTGCAAGCTGTGCCGCTGGCCGGCAAGCCGGGGTGTGTACAGCCCCATCTCTCCCTACAACCTGCAGTGGTCTCTGAGCATGTGGGCTGGAAGACAGCTTTTGTCCCCATGGGCTCTCTCCAAGCTCCTCCATGGCGGCTGCCAACTACTGCCAATTAGTATTAATCACATTTACTACCGCAATGCTTAAATACCAACTAAGAATCCCCACTGTGCTAGAAAGGGACAAACATTCGTGATGGCAACTTTGACAACGGGGATACTGGCCGTCAGGTAAACGGGACTGAATCCCACTAACTCCTTACGTCTCCACCAAGGAGTCCTCATGAGGTAGAGAGCTCTGCTTGCCACTGGCCTGGATTACAAGGTATGAAGGACAGAGCACAGCCAAAGCTAAAGCATGGGGGCGAAATCCTCAAATTCCACTGGCAGTGCTGGTGTGAGGGCTGCACGCTACTTTGCAGTCTACTCTTTGCTGACTGTCCTCTCTGGTGAGGAAGAGGAGTTACTTGTACCATTTAAGCCAAGTGAGTTACCTTCTGGATGCACCTAATTCTTGCCAGTGTCTGCAGATGACCACCAGCTGCCAACTTTAGGTGCTGCAGACCACTTCTAAGCCAGATGTGAAAGCACACAGCACAAATAACCCTTCCTCCCTGTGCACGACATAAGGGCTGCCACCGAAACCATCAGCTCTCCATCTGCAAAATGTGCATCATGCCCTTCTCTGCTTGATGGGGCCGAACAGCTGGGTCCTGCTAACGCCTCACCGCATCCCAGCGCTTGCCCTCCCCACCAGCCTCTCCCCATTCCACAGGGATTGCGTGACGGAGCCGGCCTGGACAGGCTGTGGAGGCGCAGCCCCGGAGCCTGGAGAGCAGTTCACCTGCACACTTGCGGGGTTGTG